TGCTATAGCAATCGACAACGTTACTTATATTCGTATGTAAGTAGGGTTTCGAGACTACCAGTAAATCAGTTTAATGAGATGTATTCATCCTATTTCGTGTAAGGTAGTCTCGAAACCCTACTTACATATAAATTTCATGAACATAAGCGATTTTGAATGCAAAAAATGATATATATATTACTTTACAACTTATTTTTAAGATTCATAGTCCTCAGATCAAAGGATAAATATATGTATCCTTCTAAGAGGATAATATTCGCACGTATGAATATTTCAGTTCAAGGTGAGCATAGAGGGAAATGCATTGGGTATGACAAATTAATGACGAAAACTTGAGGTTGTATGAAAAATACATACTTTCCTCACTCTCTGTTCCCCATTATAAAGGTAAATTGAGATATTTGTCTTCTCTGATGTCATAGTTGCTCTAAATTATGGTTTTAGAACGTGAACTTTCTAATTTTTTTTTATATAACGGATAGAAGCTCAAAAAACATATATTTCATTGAATTTCAGATGGCCTGGCTTTCATAAAAGGTATTCACATCCAGGATGAACTGCAGTTTTGATCTCACCTAGGTCTTATAAACAACACGAAAATCAACCGTCATCTGATGGGATCGGTGTAGACATTTCTTTCCACTCGGCATTTTCACGTCACAAGACACCACAACAGTGCTACTATCTCACTATCATACCACGAAAATTTGGCTAATAGAATACGATAGTCATGGCAATTTTAATCAAATATCTGATTTCGAGGAAATATCTCATCTTTAGAACCATCAAGGTATTATATGAATAATAAACTAGAAAAAAAAATAATTCCAATTGTAAGAATAGGATTAAGCCCGATAATATTTATTTAAGGGATATCTAAGGAAACCCTGATAAGTCTATATAACAAAGTTTGAGGAATAGGTTTTGCCAGGATATCACAAGTATTACAGAAATAAACGATGTTGTATGAAGCAAAAAAGAAAATTATCAATTTGTAAGGGCCACTAGGTTGTTGATTCGACAAAAGTTGGTTTTATTTAGTGTCAGGGAGAAAAACAGCTAAAGTTTAATTAAAAGCAAAAAATGGTTCGGCAAAACATTGCAAAAGCTACCTGAATATTTGCAAGAGCACGATTCAAATCGATAGGAAAGTTGTCCGTTTCCATTTCAAGGGGATCCAGGCCGTCAGATCCAAAGCGGAATTGAATAACATCCCCACGGCTATCGCGAACAGTGCCATCGTAGTTGACCGCCAAATCTTCTAAAAACTGAATAGAGGTTTGCATACTAGAAGGAAGTTGTTGGAATACTCGAAGACTAAGTTGTGTCTTTTCATTCAAAGCTATTAAAACAAAGTAGTTTTATCTTGGTTTCGCAACTTGGTCATGTTAGCAGGAAGACCCAGAGGAAAGCACCTCGTCCAGAGTTCATAGTATGTATTATGATTTCCAGAGTCGGACAGTGGATTTAGTACATTCTCAGACGTTTCACCGAGAACGTCAGTGAGCCTTGCCATTTTCAGCAATCCATATACAATTCGTCAGAGACAAGTAGAGTCTCTTTTCCTGTGAAATAGCTCAAAAACTACGGCCAATAGTAAGAAAATGGAATACTCAGGTAACCACGAGGGAAAAAACAACATTTTTTACAAGTCTACCCCCCAGCATGAGAGGGTAGACAAATTGGATTGCTCAGGAGCTTACTGCATAGAAAGCGGCGCCTGCGAACAGAACGGACTAGATGTCACTTTGGCTTTAGTAAGTCTCCTTTCGCCCAAAGAAGTCAATGTAATCCCAAATCACTAAAGAATCTTGCTATTATGACGAATTGTGAATTGGCGCACAGCTTTTCCTACACATGATGTACGTGCAATGCAAGCAAAACATCTGAGAACTAATCTGGTTAACTTTTTGATGTAGGGTGACAACATGGTTACAAAGTCAAAGAACGTAAGTAAAAAAATCCGCAAATTATGGGGAAACGAATAGCAAAAGTGCATTAACAAGACATCTGATCGAGGTAAAGGGCTTCACGAAAGTGCCCTTGCTTCCTGTATTGATAATAAAAAATTAAGCCAAAATACTTACAAGAAACCAAAGTTATGCAAAAGAAAAATTATCCCGGAATTGATTTTACCATAATAAAAATGCACTAGTGACAGATGGCCTACTAGTAATTACGGTGTTTTTTCCATCTTCCTGTTACGTATCTCATTCCTACTTATCATTCACTCTCGCTTTTATTCGTGATAGTAAAATTAGATATACCATTATTATGGAGAGTCATCTGAAAATTAAAGATATGAAGGTACACAGAACAGTCTTATAAAATTTGTTGTCTTAAAAGTGTTATACTATATTTGATTTCAATATAGCCACTTAAGTACAAATTATATTCAAACATTTCTGTAAATAATTCCTTATAAATTACTGAGGCAAGTCGTTTACCTTAACGAGTCTTCTCTGCATATAGCCAGTATCGGCAGTCTTAACTGCAGTGTCTGTAAGACCTTCACGACCACTCATTGCGTGAAAAAAGAATTCTGAAGGTGTGAGGCCCGAGAAGAAGCTATTGCCTACGAACCCCTTAGCTTCAGGAGCCCGGCTGCCACGCGGAAAGTGCACTAAACTGCGTCCGTTAACAGAATCCGGTACTCGCTTGCCACCGATAACCTGCTGACCGACACAAGCTATCATCTGACTGATGTTGAGAAAGGAACCTGAGATGAAAAATCCAAAATCCAAACAAGAAAATGTTAACCTATCAGGCGAAATAAAATGCAACACCTGGGGAATCTATTATATAGGTGTTAAAATGGGGCAAATATGAATTTGTAATAAATAATATAGAAACATTAATAAAAGAGAAAAGTAGTGAAGAGTTATGAAGGAAAACTTGCGCCAGTGTTAAAATAATCCAAGAATATAGATAATGCATAGCTTTAGGTAGTAAGAAGAAATAAAGCATGTATATAATGCTCGAATGAACTAATTTAAAAAGAATGAAATAAATATTACAAAGGAGCAAATTCCAAATCCTTACCTAAACAATCTGAATAAAACTTTTTAGAAAATACAAGCTAAACAAAATCCGTAATAAAGTTTAGGCCATAAACAAGCAGCCAAATAGATTTTGGCGAAAGCCGAAAATATGATTAATAGCTGTTTCATGAACTCTTGACGGAGCAGCAAAAATTGAACTAAAGTAAAGCCTTGGTTCGCCAGTCACTACAATAAGGTATTATGTTCGAAAGGCGTCTACACGTTT